CCAAAGCCTTTATCCAGGAGAGCATCCCGACTTGATCCTGTGCTACGCGTATAAGAAGCAGCTCCAGCACACCTGCAGGGTCCCACAGATGGGTGCAGGTAGAGCGTATTATGGGCTGTGTTTACAGGCTGATGACTATTATTAGCTGGCTTGCTGAGGTTTTAATCTGGATTAAGCTTCCGAGGAAAGTGATCGTTGTTAGTATTATTAGTGATTGAAACCTCTGACCTTTCTACATTTAGAACACGTTGGCAGCAGGAAAACCCTCTCATGAGGCTCTCAGGGAAGCTAAAGCAGGTAAATGACAGGATGGGTTTTGATGAAATAGAAAAATATTGTAATTACTGCATGTGGTGATTTTCAAACCACCAAATAGTTCCCGAGCACAGCTGCAGCTCACCTCTCCCCACAGAGATCTTGAATACGAGACAATCAGGAAAAAAATGTGTGCTTACTTAAAACGTTGCCCCAGAAACGACTCGTAACATCCTGAAAGTCAAAAGAATGAACAAAAACAAGTTTCAGATGTTTCATTAGGACTTTTGTTCACGGTTGTTTTATTTTAAACATCACAAGATGAAAAACGACCAAAATTGTTCAAAAGTAAAAAGAAAATGTTTGTAGTTAGCCTGGAAAACAGATCGAGCCCTTCTGTAGAGTGTGTGTGTGTGTGTGTGTGTGTGTGTGTGTGTGTTACAATACAGCCAGTGTGCCCTGTATCGGATGGAATATTTGGGATTCCTGAACACATCGACTCCACAGCTGAAATGTCCCACTGGAAACTGGAAACCATCTTTTCTTTTATGACGTTTGTTTTTAACTTTTTCTTTTCAATTCAATTCAATTCAATTCAAAAATACTTTATTGATCCCAGAGGGAAACTGATTGCTATAGTAGCTCAGAATAATAATAATAATCAAGTCATCAAAGAGTTGTTGTATATTACAATGGCTGTTGGCAGGAAGGATCTCCAGTAGCGGTCAGTGTTGCAGCCAAACTGAAGAAGCCTCTGACTGAAGACACTCTTCCGTTGTCGGACAGTCTTGTGGAGAGAATGCTCAGGGTTGTCCATCATTTTCTTGATTCTCTGGAGAATCCTTCTTTGCATTAACTCCTCCAGCGGTTCCGAAACTGCCGAAACTCTGGCTGAGTCCTTGAAAGGGCTTGGAGTTCCTCCATCTTGTTGGCCAGTGATCTCACATCGCCCATTATGATCGATGGAAGAGATGGTTTGAATTTCCTCTTTCTCCGTTTCCGTGTTGCTCCCGCTCTGCACCCACGCTTCTTGCGTTTTAGCTCATTTGGGATTTGTGGCTTCAGTTGAGGTATTATTTCAGCCTTTCCAATGTTAATCAGCTCCTCCCAATTGTAAACCAGCTTGTTGCCATGGTTACGCATCATAACAAATGCTCATAAAGTGAAAAAAGCTAAAAAATAGCAGTAAAAATCATCCAGGCTTCACAGCACCAGAAACAGAAAAGTTAAGTGTCCAAAAAATACAGTTTTTCTTGAGAAACTAGAAGAAAAAAATGTCCAAGAAAAGGCAAAACTTACATATAGTCAACAGAGCTACTCCAACATGCAGCCACCCAGAGCAGCGCAGTTCCGGAAAAAGGGGCTTTTAAATTCTGGGTTTCTATGTAACAAGAGTTTTTATTTCTGTCAAAGACAAAAACATCCAGTTTGTGTTTTTGAATAACGAGTTTCAGATAAATCGTATTTTATGTTTAACATCAGCAGGTTTCGTCTACCTTTGGTCTCAAAGATGCTGGAGAAACAACAGCTGATGTTGGTGACGAGGGAAGGTAAGGCCAGGGTTTTTAATTAATGCAATAGAAATTCCAGAAATCAGGTTTTGTTAAAACTCAGTTTATCAGATGGAGGATGGGTAATGTTTGAGTGTATCACCATGGCAACAGACTCTGTGAAATAAACCTACTCCTGGTTCTCGGTTCTAATCCATCTGATCTGGAAGCACTTTTCCGAAGTCTACGCCTGTGGCTGGATCCATTTCCCCGTCACCAAATGTTTCCCTTTGCTTCAGACTGACTAATTTATCTTATTTGGCGGTTTGAGTGACTCCTCGATGAATCCGAAACGCAGCAGCGGCCGGTAACTCAGGAAAATGAACCGGAAACTTGTTAATTTAATCTTTCACCGTTTTATTTCTGACGGATTCAGGAACGATCTGCCGATTTATCCCAACACTTTTCCACCAAACGTCAAATGGGTCCCTCTGCTCCAGAAGGCTGGCGTGCTTCCAGTCATCCTCAGGTGGGAATCTGCAGGTCTCATGAGGTCAGGGTTAAAAGTCCACTGGAAGAATTTCCCTGCTAACATGAAATGATTTGCCCTCCAACAGAATCCGGCGTTTTCGCAGCTTTAGGAAACAACTGGATCTATTCATCGACCTGCGGCTCTCCGACCCGTTTCCACGCACCAACACAAGAACATGATTGTCTGTCCAAACACACACGCCATCTTTACTGAACAACGTACAGATTTAAATCTGGATTCCAGCACGTCGAGGAATGTTCGCATTCCCAGAGCTGGAACATTTATGTGGCTTCACACATCATGATTGAACTCTGAGGGCCTTTTCCCCCCCAAGACTTCATTTCCTGAATTTAATGATTCTCTTAATACCTCCGACTCAGATTTAGACCCCAGAAACACTGAAACAGTTGTTCTCTTTCTTCTCGTGACTTCTCATAATCAGCAGACAGAATCATCATCATCATCATCTTCGACATTCCAGCTTCAGGCGAACAGATGGACCACTTTCATGAACGGAATCTGCAACAGCAAGATCCACACAACTCATCTGATGTAAATAAGGAAGGACTCAGATTTATAAAACCACTTCTCCCATGGAGACCGGATCAGGCCAGTCAGACAGTGGAGCAAACGTCTGGTTTCTAACCTTGAAAAGGAGAAAATATCTCGTTTATTCCAAACTTTCATCTGTATCCTGATGTCAATTAGTTTTCTCTGTTGGCTATAACCCTCCCACTGTCTTCATGGGTGACCCCGCGAGGAAAGTTGACCATTGAGCAGGGTTGATGGTTTATCCCTTGAGGTCCATGTGGCAGGGGTGAGGAGTGAGCACCACCTCACCCCTGCCTCGTGGACCTCCAGGCATAAACCATCAACCCTGATCAATGGTCAACTTTCCTCGTGGGGTCACCCCCATTAGGACAGTGGGAGGGTTAACTCAACAGGAGAAAAAAGCTGCATTTAAAATCTTTAAACATGCATGCTGAGTTCTGTCTGCACCGAGGACAAAAGCGTATTCTACATTTGTCGACACTGCGCAAGTGCTGCTGGGTGCTAATGCTAGCCCAAGAAAACGCATTTACCAATTCTAAATACACGCAGAGCGCTTGGATGTCGATGCAAACAACCCAAGACAACACATTCAAACATATATGCTCAGTTACTCATTACAGAAAGTTACATTTTCTTTTGTTCCTCTTCGGTAATTATTTGTGTCTCTACTTTTTAAATACCGCCCTCCTCTGGTTAAAAGCCGTTTTCATCCACGTTTGGATGCTCAGCATTCTCGGACGTAGGACCTGTCCCAACGGCAAAACGTCTGAAGCAAATATATCTGGATCTGCTTCACACTGAAAATCTGCTCTTCCACATGAATACTGCCACCTTGCTTTTCCTGTCCTTAGCAGGGCCCTTTCCGGGCGTTTCATGTGGTCGCTGACCTCGCCAGGCTTTGGAAAATAGGTAGAAAATATCCCCTCCGACGTCTGATCTGGGTAGTTCCCATCTGAACAGGAGACGAAACTTCAATACGAGTGGAGCAACGCCGACCCGTAGTGGCCTGTGCAAAGCACACACTAGCTTGTCTAGGGCTACATCCCACAATGCATTGCGATGTTTCATCCATTTTAAGCTGCTGTAGAAATGACTATTGCTGACAAGTCAAAAAACAAAACACGAATGTCGCACGGAGACGGAAGTCGAACAGTCAAGAAAAAAGTTAAATATGTCCGGGGTAAAGTGATAATGGTAGAAAAAAAAGACCTAAATGAAAATGTGAGTCAGGATAAAATTTAAATCATATAATAGAATTAATAAAAATAATAAAAAAGTTGAGAAAATTTAAGTTGAAAGAAAAAAAGTTTTTTTAAAAGGTAGCATTTCCAGAAATAAATATGCATTAAAATAATAAACATACATTTTATAGATACGAGGCATGAGCTTTAGGCTGCTCCTGTAGCACTGTCCAGATCAACTTCCTTCATTCCTTCACAATAAAAGTCTGTAACAAACATGTACCTTTAACCCTTTGATGCATGAATTATGAAATCTTCAACCATGATTTTTTAAACATTTTTTTTCATTCATTTTTAGGTGCGAATGAAACAAATTTCAACAAATATCTTTTGTAATGTTTTGTTAATTTACAATTAAGTTATTACATGTCCACCTCAGTGGACAGCGTGCATTCTGAACATGAAATATGTTGGCTTGACTTACTGAAGTCCAAATGGAGGGGCTCAAATGCAATAAAGTCTTCAACAACTGTGCTTAATAGCAAAAATAAATAAATAACAACTTTGAATACCTGTCCACTGTAGTGACCATTATGCATCAAAGGGTTAAACATCTTAGGTGTGTTCTTGCTGTGTTGCATCTAATTCCGGCTGCAAACGAAACGTAGCGGGAACTTCTGAAGCCTATGAAGGTTTTACGGTAATCCCAGAACAAGATTAATGAACCTTTCTTAAAAGTTTTTCAGTCGGCAGGAACTTCCAGGAGGAAAACTCAAAGTCCTTCGCTGTCTGTTGAAATCTAAACATCTTTCAGAAGTTTGGAGTTTTCCTGTTTTCACTGGAATTTCAGAAAATTCAACCTGCAGACCTTCCGGGATCGCTGGAACAGCCGTGTTCACGGAAGACGCGTCCACATCCTTCTGTCCATCCGAGACAAGTTCCTTCCTGGTGCTCCGAGACTCAAGCTGAGTGAAATAAACTGGAAACGGGAGCGTTTTATACTTTATTTGTGTAGAAAAACAAAACCATTAAATTCATCGCCTGATTTTTCTGTAACAAAAAGATTAAATGGTGAAACGTTTAATTTCAGAATCTTTTCATGTTTAAACCTTTTAAAGGTCTAAAAACATCAACTTTGATCATTTAATCTTCATTAAATTTACTCTTTTTGTAAACTTGGATGGAAAGTTTTCCCTGAGAAAAGTCCCACTTTTAGAAGTTCAAACAAACGAGTCAAAAAATGAGAGAAAATTCAAAACGTGAAGAAGAAAAAACCGGTTTTAACTGCAGGATACATTTTACTGACAGCGAGTGAATAATAAACATAATTATACCGATTATGTTTATTTATTCAAGTCCCACCGTTTGTGGTTGTTAAGTGTTTAAACAGTCTGTTTTTACTACTATTTAAATGTTAAACCTTTTATTTTTATGATATTTAGGAGATTATAAACAAAAAATGTCTTCTAAAGCTTCATCAATGTGAAAAGCTTTTCATTTTTTTAAATTCTGCTTCAGGTTTTACTAATTCTCAGACTAATTAAACGGAGAAAACGGATTTAAATCCTGTCAGATATTTGGATTTAAAAGGGAATTCCTTGACCAGGAAGCTTATTTGGGAAAATCTTCTGGTTGGGAACTTTAGATCTCATGTTTTTAGCTTCCAAAACAAGTCAAGAGTTAAATCATCGGCTTTCTGCCCGTTTAGCAAGCAGAAAAAAAGCGGCCTCGTTTCTTCTTTTCCAGCTGCAGCGGTCTCAAAAAGTTTGAGTCCAGCCGTCGGATTTTAATCTCCAAACGAAAAATATAGTTCAGTCCAAACAAAACTAAACTAAATCTAACAACAAATCAACTAAAATAAAACCAAAATGAATGCAACTAAAAAAACGTTTTGAGGATTTCCAGCAACGTTTTTTTTAGGCAGAAAGCATGAAAATGAAAATCCAATACAGTCACTTTGGCGATGCCCTGTTGAGTCTCATCAGGGCCTGTAGGATTGACCTTTGACCTTTGAGCACTGGCCTTCAGGTTGGTGGAGGCCCGTTGACGTAACTCAGCATGAGGTGGAAGGTTCGAAACATCTGGTTGCCACGGTGACACGGAGGTTCCATGACGACTGCGATCAGGCTGCCGAACAGAACGAGAGCTGCGGCGAGGAGGAGGAGCGCCGAGGACGAGCAGGAGGCTGCAGCTCTGGAAGTCAACCTGAGAGAACCGGAGAAAAGGTCCGGGTTTTAGTTTCTCTCAAGAAACAAACGTCACACGGAACAGAAATCACATCAAAATAAGACGTTTTCTGTTTTTGTCCAGAAACAAATCCGTGGAAGCTGCCACCCTTTCAAAATAAATTTCAAACAAGATGTAACGTGAGAACAATCTTAATGATTTTTTTTTTCATTTTCCTAAAAATACAATTTTCCCATTTGAACAAAATTGTTACAAAATAATACACAAGTGATCAGTGTGGATGATGTAACGTTAATATTTTTGTTCAAATGGGAAAAAAACATTAGGAAGCTGGAAAAAATCCCACTATACCCTGGAAAATAAAACATTAAAACTATCATGTGATTTGGCTTTTATTTTGAAAGAGTGGCAGCAGTGTGCTTCTGACCAAGTCCTCCAAACACACCCACGTCACCCCGCTTCTCCTCCAGCTTCACTGGCTGCCAGTCAACTTCAGGGTTCATTTCAAGATCCTGGTTCTGGTCTATAGGGCCTTACATGGACAAGCACCATCTTACATTGGTGATCTTCTTAAGCCGGGCGTACACTGTGTGACTTTTTCACTCGCAGCGTTCAGCTTCAGCTCAAACTATACGACTTCCTCGCAGAGCAGATCTCACGAGTCGTGTGCTCACACTGCACGACCCAGTTCTCGCATGCGACCTGACTGCTCACACTGTACGTCTGGTAGCAACACGTCGGCCCTAAAAATGTGCTAAAAATAGCAGTTTTTACTCAACACGTCAGACTTTTTTGTTTTGCCTGTTGTCCTTCGGGAGAGCTGCAGGAGGACACACAGGGATTTATGGGGGTTGGATGAGGAAAACGAAATAAAGAAAGTGAATCTGTGTTTTGTGATCAGTTTAATTTGACATGAACACGACAAACACGCTTTCTTGACTATCTTTGTGAGTAAAAAAAAACGTGTAGAAACAAAAACGAACAGCGTGTGTTATTAGGGAAATAGCGAGCGACCGGCCGGCGTTGATGCAGGATTGCGCGCGCATGCGCCGTGAGCGGTTCTGATACTTTTTGGGTCGCAGCTGCTCGCAGCGCCGCTTCAACACTGCGATACCCTCACGAGGGACGAGCGAAATATTAAACACACCAGAAGTCCCTGCGACCTCACGACTGCTGATCGGCAGCTGGTCACGTGGTGTTAATCGCCTCTCGTAACCCCCTGTACACTACACGACCGCTCGGCGCAAACTCGCCCCGATGTCGTGGATTCTCGCACGACTGGAAAATCGGCTCAAAAAAGTGAAAAAGTCGCACAGTGTACGCCCGGCTTTAGTCCCTACACCCCCAGCAGGTCCCTGAGGTCCAGTGATCAAAGCCTACTGGTTGTGCAGCACCAGGCTAAAGGTCAAAGGTGACGGATCATCTGCTGCTGTGGCCCCCAGACTCTGGACCTCTCTCCCCCTGAGCCTGAGATCAGTGGACTCAGTGGTCTCCTTTAAAAAGCAGCTGAAGACTCACTTGTTCAAGCTGGCTTTTGTATGACCTTCTTCACCTCTCTCTTTATTCTGCTCTCCCCACCTATTCCACCTTCCTCAGGATCCACTGGTTTCCCTCTTTCCTGTTCACTCTCTCTCTTTCTTAACATTTTTAATCACAATTGCCTATTTTTGGCTCTTCTTCTCCTCCTCAACTGATTTAGGCTCCAGAAAAAAAACACAAACAGGATATTTGGAGTAAAAGCTTCACGCATCAGGTTCTTCTACAGAACAGAACCGGTTCCAATCGTCTCCGGCTTTAGAACAGTTGAGGTTCTGAATGTTTTTACCTCTGATCAGAGAGGAGCTGCTCATCTTCTTCACAGCAAGAAAAGTCCTTGTCATCCTCAAGGTGAAACACACACACACACACACACACACACACACACACACACACACACACAGGAAGTGAGTGTGCAACCTTTCAAAATAAAACTCAGTTCCGATGTACCCTCCTTGTGAAGTCACCTGTAGGTCTGGCTGA